TGCTTTTTGTATTTAGACTTAGGTCTACATTTTGTGTAACATTTAAATGAGGCCATTTCTAGATCACTTTCAGGATCTGAGTGAGTTTCTGCTATCCCATATATATCATATTTGTCAATGTCATTTTTGACTTCTTGTAATTTTAATTTATTGCCAAATTCTCTACTTTTGTACCCGTGAATATTCCAAAAACCCAACCGTAATGGGATGGTCATATGTATAACAGAAACTGTTGTATTTGACTATCTTTAGTTGCTATATATATTATATAATTATATAACGGTAATGTCTAGTCCGCTATATATATGTATGTATATAGTGGGAGAAAATATATCACTCAAAGAATCTAAATAAAATATATTAATTAAATGTACTTATCCAGTTTGCTAAGGGCTGCAATGCCTTCCAGAGTCCTTCATGAGTTGATCTGTTACCATATTCAGAGAAAGTTGACTTGGGCCAATGTTGGCCATACTGGCTCCTTGTATTGCGGTAGTATGATGGTCCTTTGAAGCGCTGGTAGTTTTCGTTTCTTATTTGTCTTCTTGGCACTTTTCTGTCGTCTTTTATTCTTCTATTTAAGTTCAAATATTTCTTTAAATTTGCGGCTAATTTTCTCATCCCTTTTTCTGAGTTTAGATGTAGATTATCATAGTAAACTTCTTGGTCTATCGATCCATCCTTTAATGTAGCAATATGGTCATTGTTCATATATTGTACAGCATGATTTCCTTCGCTTTGGCAAAGCCTTTGTGTTGCGCTGTTCACTGTGTCGATTATATCATTCTTTGTATTGTTGTATCTGTGGAAGATGATCCCCGAGAGGATTATCTTAGCGTTAGGCCACCTTGATTTACATTTCTGTACAATTTCTTCAATGTTTTTATTTATTTCGTCCAGCGATTTTTTGAAGATGTCATTTGTGCCGGTGTGCACCACTATTTGATTATATTGTCGTTCACTTTCAAAATTGGCAATAAAATTTATCATCTCCGCAGTGCCTCCTCGAACATATTCTTTTTTGATGTGATTTTTTACTGAAAGTTTTTTTTCAATTATTCCTTTCATCATAGAATCCGACATAATAAGGATATTTGACTCATCATCTGCTTCTGACTGTTGCTTGTTATTTCCTGTAGGAGTACAGGTATTCTCTCTCTCTTGTTGGTTGTAGTCATTTTCTGGTGGATGGTTTTGTAAAGGATCAAATCTGTTTTGAGTGGATATTGTTGAGACATTGATCACTGAGTCTTGAGAGTCCGACTCACTTTCATCATCTTCAGACTCCGATGAATCTGATTCTTTATTCTCTTCTAACCCCTTTATTTTTGTTTCCAGAATCTTTGAAGAATGAAAGAATGGAACAATCTGAGTGACACTCTTAAACAATGTTCTAATATCAACCATTTTAAATCGAATTTCTTTTAAACCTGTAAACCTAAATAATTTGAACTTTTCATCTTTTGCAATTTTACATACTAGTAATAATGATGTTGACTTTTCAGTAACGAGCTGGTTTCGATATTCAACCTCCAAATTCTCTTTTTGCATATTATTGTCAAAATATCTTATTTATCAGGACCTTCTTGAAAATCACATTTATAAGTGAAGAAGCTTCCTGTTAAAATATGAATGTAAATAAATAAATATTGCTGTTTGTCGTCAAATTTATGGTGTGGTTTCGTGTTTCACTGTCGAAATACGCATGCGTTCAGACCGTTGCTATGGACGATGTCATTTGTTTGGGACGCGTTACGGGATTCGGATGAAGCGACGCGTGGGCGATATAAAACCGACGTTTTCCGATAGTTTTTGTGGCTCAATCGGCTTGATATCGTGAGTCATGACGTAGTTCGATGTCAGAAACAATATGGCGGCGAATTCTTTCGTTTGAATCCAAATTTGAAGAATTATAACGACTTTAGCGCATTAAAGCACCACTCTCCCTCACGCGTTCTTCGATAAACTCTTTTGTATTTATCATGCTATCCTTAAATTTGGAACAAAGCTTAAATAGACCTTAAAGATTAAAAATTAGGCAGCCCGGAGTAAAGACATATTTTGATAAAATGTTACGACCGAAAACCGAAAAATACTACTTTTTACAGGTCAGCTAAGATTTCTTTACTTGATTTCACATTTTGACAAGTTAATTGAGCTTTTTAAGTATCGCCATACATTTTCTTATAACATGACACCACAGAAACCTAGCTTGGGCTACCTGTGTACATCCTGAGCTGAATAATGTAATAAGGGTTTATAATGTTTTAAGTAACCCATTTGTAACCTGGTAAACTTATCCTGACCTTGTAAGATATATTGACAGCAGTCCTCCTAGGGACTTAGTCCTCCGTTATACAGAGGATATTTCCAAAACTTTTAGATAGTGCTATAGAACAGGGATGGTGCTAATTTTTTTATTTCTTGCTAATCTAGAACACCATGCTGAGAGAACAGACCAGTTATGTAACGCCAAAATCAAATGAACTGTGTAGTGTGGCTACACAGACTGAAGACTACGGCTATGTTAATCATGGTACTTCAATGTATGTTGACAATGAAAGAGATATGGAAAATAGAGAAAGCAAAAGTCATGAAATAAAAGAATTAAGCGATGGCGAGACAATTGATGTCAATGAGCAGAACACATTGAATAACACTGATGTTGACAGTATCGTAGATGAAGTTAATGAAGAGATGGAAGAGTCATTAAGTTCCATAATTACAGAGATGAAACGAAGGAAGGATGTTGTACAAAATGTACAACCTCAGCAAAGAGAAATGGAAACTAGAGAAAGTGAAAGTATTCCAATAAACAAAGAAGTGGATGGTGATACGATCGATGTCAATGAGCAGAACACATTGAATAACACTGATTTTGACGATAACACTGATAAAGATAGTGGAGACCTTGAGATGGATGAGTCATTAAGTTCCATGCAAGGAATTAGAAAGGAACTTCTACCAAATGTACAACCTCAGCAACAAAGGAATACCAACATACATAACTGTCCTTTCTGCAGTAGAACATTTAAGTGGAAAAGTAATTTTGATGTTCATGCTCGAACGCATACCGGTGAAAAGCCATATGAATGTTCGTATTGTGACAAGGCATTTGCACAGAAAGGTGGTCTTGATCGTCATCTACGAACACATACCGGTGAAAAGCCATATAAATGTTCGACTTGTGAAAAGGCATTTACAACGAAATATTATCTCAAAATACATCTACGTACCCATACTGGTGAAAAGCCATATAAATGTTCTAATTGTGACAAGGCATTTCCACAGAAAAGAGACCTCRAGGTTCATCTACGAACACATACCGGTCAAAAGCCATTTCAATGTTCGTATTGTGACAAGGCATTTATAGAGAAAAATAAGCTTGAAATTCACCTACGAACACATATGACTGGTGAAAAGCCATATGAATGTTCGTATTGCGATAAAAGATTTTCACGGAAAGCTAATCTCGGTCGTCATTTACGAACACATACAGGTCAAAGGCCATTTAAATGTTCGTATTGTGATAAAGCATTTATAGAGAAAAATAAGCTTAAAATTCATCTACGAACACATACCGGTGAAAAGCCATATGAATGTTCGTATTGCGACAAGGCATTTACAAAGAAATTTGTTCTCGTTAGTCATCTACGAACACATACCGGTGAAAAGCCATACGGATGTCCGCTTTGTGGAAAGGCATTTACGTTGAACAGGACTCTTGATCTTCATGTACGAACACATACCGGTGAAAAGCCATATAAATGTTCGTTTTGTGACAAGGCATTTATACAGAAAAGTGTTCTTGGTCGCCATCTACGAATACATACCAATTAAAAGCCATATCAGTGTTTGTATTTTGATATAGTTTTTTTTACGAGAAGTAATACATCAAACACTATCTATCATGTACTACTTTTTCGTGGGATTCTACCAGATCACTAGATACAGCGTGCTGACGAGACCCATTACAGGCCCAAACAGCTGTCCACGGTTTCTAGTTGAGCTGGCTCAGTTTTTACGCCACTTGAAGTTGTGAAAGGCTTGTATGGCACTTTTCTTCAGTCGTTTCATCTAAGGCTTGAAATTTACCTATTACGCATCAAACACGTGAAAGAGTGTTTCTCATCCGATTGCCCGGTTTCATTCTTAACCTCATTTTCTTTCTCGTGCCCAATGTTCATCAGCTTAATCACAGGTTTTCAATAGAGAATTCTTCTTTGTTGACAGCACATAATGGCCTGTGTTTCACCACCATTGGCAGCATATTATGAGATTTAAAGACTTTTATTAGCTGATTGACACCCAGCAATTTGCAAACACCGAGAAGTGAGTTGAAAAAGCGAGGCAGCATGCAAAGATTCTAAAAATAGCATCAAAGAATGTTCATCATGGGGCGCTGGAACCCTATTCTTATCTCTTGCATTTACCCCCTCTCGTTCACAAAGCCTGCGCTGTTGGCAACGCGCTAACGAGAATGGGCATTTACCCAGAGAAGATGAAAGCAATTAGGAAGGAGCTTCTGCGCTTATTGCAGTGCAAAAGTTATTTTGATCCTCATGTATTACGTATCCATACCAGTGAAAAGACATTCCATTGTTCGTATTGTGATAAGGCATTTTCACATAAAAGTGATCTTGGTCGTCGTCTAGAAACACAGAGGTGAAAAGGCATTTCACGTTCGTATTGTCGCAAGGCATTTACTCATAGAAAAGGCACCTCAAAGGCCACCTTGATACACATGCTGGTAAAAAAGCATATGAATGATGTTCAAATCGTTAAATTGCATTTGCGCAAAAGAAAGTCTACCTTTATAAAACGGCTTTCAAAGGACAAATTTTTTTGCTTCTCATAGTAATCAGTCTGCTACCGACACAAAATATGTACAACTTATATTTTGTTGATGTAAAGTATTTTTACTAGAATATAACATTAGATATTATATCATAGACTCATTGAATACTTATTAAATAAACGAGTTATCAAATAGAAAATCAACTTCTAGCATGCAGATAAGCAGATAATAGATCGACATGCACAGTTCTGCTTACCCTTCTCCAACCGACACAACAAGAGAATATTGGGCTCCCTGTTGTTCTTCGATCTTACTTTGGTCCATGGTTGAACAAGCTGGGAGGAAAAAGGAACGAATTAGCGGTTGCGACTAACTTGTAGGCTCACGTCCTACGCATAAAAATTACTTAAGAAACTAGGGGGCGTTTATTTTTATTGGGAAAGGGGGCTGGATGTGGGATTCGCTTGCTATTAAACCCCTGCACTAGAACCCCAACTCCTCCCCCTTCCCTACCCCCACACTACCACCTCCGTTCTGGGCTTTCCCTTGTTTTTCATACGGCGCGACTCGGATTTCGTGTGTTTGTGGCCATTTTGGGTCGTATTTTTCAAAATGCCGTATCTATATCACCCCCTCCAGAAAATAAGAACATCCCAACCCTTCTCCCCTAGGAAAATAAAATAAACGGTCCTAGATCCTTTAACCTCATTTCTTGCAAGTTGTCTTTTAAAAATGTCTTTTAATCTATTGAACAATAATTAAAGATTTATTTTCGCGAGTAAAACTTTTTACTACAATGTAATACTGCTGAAATTCAAGCCTGGATGTTTTCGTTGACGATTAGTAGCGCATGCGCATACGTTTCTAACTTGTGCTTGGTGACAGTAGTCGTGCTTTTGGTTCTTATTTTCTTTCAAACATCTTGTCATTTTGGTGGATTTTCTCGCTCACACAGACTGTTTTCTGGTCAACTGATACGTGGGGTAAGTCGGGAATGATGTATTGTATTTCTTAGTGGATATTTAGTGTTGTTTGAAGGATCAAAGTGCTGCTGAGTACTCGAGATCACTAGTTATTCGTAAACGATGTCAAGAAATAATCTGTATGAAATTGAGAAAAAAAGATTAGTATGCAAATAAAGTACAATATAAGAGCTTTATTGTATTCAAATATGCTTCGATACTTGTTCTAGCTTGTCAAACAATTCGATAGTGTGGTGTGTTGGAGAACTTTGGTGAATAGTGATGCGAATAAAAGCTTACTACTGCTTGATGCAAAGGAATCATCCTAGACAAATTTTACGGGTTATTGAAAAAGTTTTCATTATTTTCATTGAAGTTTTATAAAGAAAGTTGAAATATCTTCTGGCAAAGCTACGAGAAGGTAGCCATCTTCCTTTTTCCACAGGGAGCCCAAGATTAAAGTTCGATCACTGTGAATTCTACAGCGTCAACATTTTAAAAGATAATGACGAACTTGGGCAGTTGGAGAAAGAACTCAACAATGGGAGGGGAAAATATGTCTTTTAAAATATGTAAAAATGGGGAAAAAAAGGAAAAATGGACATTTAGCAAGGAGGGAGGATTTTACTGTTCTTATTCYCATCAAATAATACAATTGCTTTACCTTAGATCAGCCCAAACGGTGTTGCATGGTTCAATCTATAGGTTAGAGCGGTGCATTAAGGTAGATCAGCCCAGATAAATTTTGAAGTCTTTTATCGTTATTTGTTACCTAATATTGGGCTAACCAACACATATTGCCCCATGTACATATAGTCCATTTATTTGCTTGTTCATATTTTGTGGTCCTGACTACCTCAAGACTTAGTAACTCACAAGACTTAGTAATTCACAATAATATATACAGAATATTCACAAAAGAACAGACTGAAGAAGACAGCCAAAGATTGCTAAAATGTCGTTAAAAAATTGAGTTAAAACAAATGGCCATGACATCCCCGAGGTAACCAGAACCACTAAATAATGCAACTTAGTCATACTATAGTTAAACCTCAAGGCCACACAGTAGATTTGAGATCTGATATAATAATGTAATAATTGATGTCATTCAGTATCTTTGGACCAAAGTTGATGTACAATAGTTTTTCTTCTCCCCCAGCAGCCTGCCAGAGGGGAAGAAAAACAACCTCCGCATAGATAACATCGCTTTCATTCTCACTCAGTGTTTAAAATAATGGCCAATCAATCACTAGTTATGATCATAGGCCTAATAAGTCTTAGCTTGGTCATACCTTATTTCTGACTAAACGTTACTAGTCAAAATGACAGGCAAGATAAAGATTTGACCATACAAGTCCCAGTTCTGGACCAAATTCATCAGATATCCGCCATTATTTTAAGGCCTGCTCACTGATCAATTTCGATGAAAATGATTTTATGTTTATTTCAGTATGCAAATGGATTCAAGTGACCAGGTAAAGAAAGACAAAATGGATTCAAATGAATTGGAGTCAGATTGGTTTGGATACGCATGCAAATCAGAAGAGATTTTATTTTATTACAACATTAAGACTGGAGAACACAGATGGGCCACAGATTCTTCTTGCCCAGAGGTAAGTTTTTTTCATACTTGACTAATCAAATGTTATTGCCCTTACCTGTCCTACCTTGACCTAGCTGCCCTGCACTGCCCTTCTCTGTGGTGCTATACCCTACCCTACCCTGACCTAGCTGCCCTGTGCTTCCCTTCTCTGTGAAGTTCAAATACAAAGACAAAACATTTCAAGAAAATATTCAATCGAACAAGGTTGATTATATATTTTTCTCAAGGGAAGATAAACAACAACAAACTTAATACATGGCTTTTGTACATTACCTTGAACAAGAGCTGCTAGATAAAACTTTATTCACTAGTGATTTTCTTTTTTCTGGAAAATCGAGATTGTCATTGTTCAAAAATAATGCAAGTCTTTTTTCTTGGAAAGATGGCTAAAAACTGTCACAAGTTTAAAACACGAAAATTGGTTGAGGCGTGCAAAGCATGCTGGGTAAACATCATCCTTTGGATGGTGCTAATGTTTTACTTGTTGTTAATTTAGAACACTATACTCGGAGTACAGACCAATCATATACCTCCAGAATCAAAGGAACTGTGCGATGTGGCTGTGCAGACTGAAGACTACGGCTGTGTTAATCACTGTACCTCAATGTATGTTGACAATGAAAGAGAAATGGAAAATAGAGAAAGCAAAAGCCATGAAATAGAAGTAGTGAACGATAATGTTACGATTGATGTCAATGAGCAGAACACATTGAATAACGCTGATGTTTACGATAACCTTGATGAAGATAGTGAAGACTTTGAGATGGATGAGTCATTAAGTTCCATAATTACTGAGATGAAAGGAAGGAAGGATGTTGTACAAAATGTACAACCTCAGCAAAGAGAAATGGAAACTAGAGAGAGGGAAAGCCATGAAATAAAAGAAGAAGTAACCAATGGTGATGCAAGTGATGTCAATGAGCAGAACACATTCAATAACACTGATGTTGACGATGACCTTGGTGAAGTTAGCGAAGACTTTGAGATGAATGAGTCATTAAGTACCACGAATGGAGGGAAGGAACTTCTACCAAATGTACAACCTCAACATCAAAGGAATACCAACATATATAACTGTGCTTACTGCAGTAGAACATTTAAGTGGAAGGGTCATCTTGACTTTCATGTGTTACGAACACATGCCTCTAAAAAGCCATATAACTGTTCGTATTGTGACAAAGCATTTGCAAAGAAAAGTGATCTTGCTCGTCATCTACGAACACATACCGGTGAAAAGCCATATAAATGTTCGTATTGTGACAAAGATTTTACGCGGAAAAGTAAGCTTGAAAACCATCTACGAACACATACTGGTGAAAAGCCATTCGAATGTTCGTATTGTGATAAGGCATTTGTAGAGAAAAGTGGTCTTGTTCGTCATCTACGAACACATACCGGTGAAAAGCCATATGAATGTTCGTATTGTGATAAAGGATTTTCAAGGAAAGATAAACTCGGTTGTCATCTACAAACACATACCGGTGAAAAGTCATATGAATGTTCTTATTGTAAAAAGGCATTTGTACAGAAACGTGGTCTTGATTCTCATTTACAAACACATACCAATGAAAAGCCATATGAATGTTCGTATTGTGATAAAGGATTTTCAAGGAAAGATAAACTTGGTCGTCATCTACGAACACATATCGGTCAAAAGGCATTCGAATGTTCGTATTGTGATAAGGCATTTATAGAGAAAGGTGTGCTTATTCGTCATCTACGAACACATACCGGTGAAAAGCCATATGAATGTTCGTATTGTGACAAGGCATTTACACAGAAAGGTACTCTCGGTCGTCATCTACAAACACATACCGGTGAAAAGCCATATGAATGTTCGTATTGGGACAAGGCATTTGCAGAGAAAGGTGTGCTTATTCGTCATCCACGAACACATACCTGTGAAAAGCCATATGAATGTTCATATTGTGCCAAGACATTTGCAAGAAAAGATACTCTTCTTGGTCATCTGGGAACACATACCGGTGAAAAACCAAATGAATGTTCATATTGTGCCAAGACATTTGCAAGAAAAGATACTCTCGTTGGTCATTTACGAACACATACCAATGAAAAGCCAGCGTAGGTGAATTTCAAGCTTAGAAAACTAAGATTGAAACTCACCTACGGACACATACCGTTGAAAAGCCATACGAATGTTCGTATTGTGGCAAGGTATTTGCAAGAAAAAATACTCTCGATCTTCATCTACGAACACATACCGTTGAAAAGCCATATGAATGTTCGTATTGTGGCAAGGTATTTGCAAGAAGAAATACTCTCGATCTTCATCTACGAACACATACCGTTGAAAAGCCATACGAATGTTCGTATTGTGGCAAGGTATTTGCAAGAAAAGATACTCTTGATCTTCATCTACGAACACATACCGGTGAAAAGTCGTCAAGAATGTTCATATCGTCACAAAGCATTTAAGTAGAAATGCGATATTCATGTTCTTTTACGTACACAGACTGGTGACAAGGAATTTACCCAGAGAAGGTATCTCAACATGCACCTTTGGAAACATACTCATGGTGAAAAGTCAGATGACTGTTTATAATGTACCATGGTATTAACTAATGTTTCGTACATTGCAGCAAATGACTGTTTGCTTCCCGTCATCGTTGTCGTTGCTGGGGAAATTGTCTGCGTATGCGTTGGGTTTTTTCCGTAGGCGGGTTTCCTTTGGTAAAGCCAATTTTATTTAAAACCAAAGATGGCGTGTCGTTCACCTAAGCAGATTTTTTTCATATTTTCGTAAAACAATTTTTAAGCACAAAGCAACTGGAACGACTTCCACGCTTACAATATAAGTACTTTTACAACAAAAAAAAAAA